CCCCCCCCCCCCCCCCCCCCCCCCAATCCCACATGCATACTACCCTTTTTGGGCTAAGCCCCGGGTGTATAAAATCTCTGGCTCCGCCTCTGGTGTACCGTCTACGTCCCAGCTCTGTCCTCTGTCAAGTGTGACCTGGCAAGGGCACTTGCATTGATCAAAGCGTTCTGGCAGAACGGCTGTGAACAGAGAGCTACTTTGCACATGAGCTGGCCTGACATGTGACCCACGGCGTGTAAAGGAGTCTCACTGTCACAAAGCAAGACCTGAGAATCTGAGAAGATGACAGCGGGGTGAAAATAAAACCAAAATATTTATTCAAATGTAGCATTTCAAAAACAGGGCATCTACTGTATTTACAAATACAGTCAGCCACATGTTTGTAATGTACCTATTTAGAAATAACAGTGTATGCTTGCCTTATACAGTACTTTTACCTTTCAGACATTGCATATGTTTTCCAAGTGGGTAAATGCAAAATATCAATAAATTTAATAAAAAGTTTTACTTGCATTGCCCTTTATGTGGTAACATAACTCATATATCAAACAATTGTTATGAAACATTAACAATAAATCACAAGTAACAGTCACCGCTGTATATCAAGTCCAATTTTCGGTGTAGAAGAGAATTTAACTAATTATGCTTGCTTGAACGATGAATAACGGAGAACAGTGACGTGAAGTGGTGTTAAATTGAACCGTAATGATGGAAAGGTATTTGTATATTTGACTTCACCCCTTAAAATAATGAACTATTCGCAAATTAACGAATCAATAATCTTTTGTTAGCCGTTAACCCTTGAACAATTAACCAAGGACTCACATATATGTGTGTGTATGCGTGTATGCGTACTTCATTATAGAATATAAGTTGTGCAGTTTTGTTACAGTTTTTTCCAAATAATCTATTTCACAAATATTTAAGTAGCGATTATATAAAAATTGCTGTAAGTCGTTAAATAAGTTGCGAAAATCACTGAAGTAGTTCGTTACATTAATCAGTCAATGACACGTGATCAATAGGAGCTGAGGCTGAACAGCAAACGCAGTGGGTGTTGAGGAGCAGGACCGCAGAGAAACCGTCTGAAATTCTGGGCGCTACATCAAAGCCACGTGTGACAATTCATGTCCATTCATTCTTTACAGCGGGATGGCAAATTTGGAATAAAAACGCACTTCCTCTCAGAGTGTCGCCCCTTCAGAAATATGAGTGCATTTTTTTCGTTGTTCTGCAGAAAAAAAATAACATAAATAAGTTTATTTTTTCTACAGAAGTGTCACCAGCCAGTAGCAAGGAAGACATCAAATCTTAAATTCAGATCGAAACTGGAAATGACCTATTTACCAGTTTAATGCTTATTTTGGGATTTTCAAAGCTGACTAAAACATAAGCTCAGAGGAATCCCACATATTGTGGGCACCGGTAAGTAAAATGCTCACAGAAGTGGGAAGTCAGAGTATCTCACCTGCCAACAACATTCCCACCTCCTCACTGTCGTCCACCACCACAGGCTTCAGGGTGAGAGCAAAAAATATGGCCAGCCCCAATATCTTCAGGATTAAAAGAAGAGGAGCTTTCTCATTAATCCTGGGCTTTAGATCTCAAAAATTTAATGTGTAACTTTCCATCGATTTGCAATCTCACTAATAGAGTAACTTGGTAAGCAGCTTTAGAACTAAAACAATCTTCGCCTTAATAAAGTAAGACAAAAGCATTGAAGGTTTTAGGCCTTAAATCGACCATTTTGTGAGTTTTCCTAGAGGTAGACTTGCCTTGAGCGGCTGTAGGATGAAGATGCTCTGGAAGAGGGAGAGCCCCAGCGCGATGACCCATTTGATGGCCGTCTCCTTGCCATACGCAAAACCGTAGAGCAGGGTAAAGAAGGTGGAAATCCCACTGCTGGAGACCAGTAGAAACCAACCAATAAAGACAAACCACCAGGGAAGCCAGCAGCTTTTGCTTTTCTCCTGTTTTGGGGCAGACAGGCTGGATCTGGGGCAAGGAGATAGAAGAAGAGAGAAGCAATGAAAGAAATTACACCAGCATCTTAGGTGTTAACAGCAACACCAAAGGCTATAATAAGCTTTAATCTGTTTGTCTGCAGGCTGTACCCATTCTGCATGTGACTGGAAAACACCATCTCTGCCTTCTTCCGAAGTAGGGTGACGGTGTTCTGTACACCCCGATAGTCCTCTTCGCTAGGGAAGGCCCTGACATCCAGTCTCTCCATGGTCTCAGCCAGACGGTGGAGGGAGCAGAGGACGAACTGGCTGCAGTAGGCCCAGTGGGAATCACTGTCACTCTCCCCTGGTGATCAGTCACACCAGCATGTTGGAACCAAGGCCATGCATTGCACTGATTTATATAATGTGTTTTCAGAATTCAGGAGCATCCTTAAAGGTCCCTTCCAATAACATTAGGTGCTTCTGAGCATCCTGGTGGATCTCAGACCTTTATGCTGGAACAAGGTAAAACTATTCTGCTTCTTAGATATTAAAAGTAAATAATCAAAAAAAGCAAAGTTGCCTGGATGTCCTTCTTTTTTTGTAGCATTTATTTTATCCTTTTTTCCTTGGAACTTGTTCATGCCTGATAAAGCATATTGCAAAATTAATTCTGTTTATATTGACAAACAGTTTTATTTAGGAATAGTGTGGTGGGGAGGGAGACGATGCCTGAGGATCTGAGGTGTTAAACTGTTTGCTGTTCCTGTACATTTCTACTAATAAAGCTGCACCTTGAATTAGCTGGAGAATGTCATGGACGGTGTACAGCGCTGCACACAAGTCAGCATAAGACTCCAGGGGTCTCTCCAGAGCTGACACATTGTTCCTCCTGCTCTTACTGAGGATGCTGACCAGCTGCTCTGTATCCTAGAAAAGATACAATTTAGAGGAGAAGGTTGATGAGCGCTATCAAACAGCAGCAAAGCGCTTTGTTGTTAGACGAGAAGATAATTAACATTCTAATGACCAACACAAATTAATATATAATTGGACTACCTTCAGGGTGATGAGATCAGAGCCAAACAGCTGCAGGGACAGCTGTGATGGTTAAAAAAATTCAAACAAAGGAGGCTAACCTTGACAACTGTTGACATGGTGACAGCAGCATGCTTCTGGTCACATGTGTTGCTGCCCTTGTGCTTGCGCATCCTGAGACGAGGCTTTGTGTAGCGGAATATGGCGACAATGAGGATGTTGATGGGGAACATCAACAGTCCACTTTCAATGCCAATCATGACATCATCGAGCGTGATTTCCAGGGAGCCTGTGATGGGGGTACAGCATTCTCAAACGACTGGGATTATTAAAGGTGATAACAAACTGCTTAATGGCTAGACTGAGGCTATATGGTTCATCCTGTTAAGTGGTAACTGCTGCACCGATCAACTGTCATCTATACCAGGAGCTTAACTGCTGCCACCTTTTAGGTCTCAGATCTCCTTCAATCAAAAAGATACAACAAAATATGAAGAACGATGGCAGCGTTCCCGCAGCATGACGTCACACGGAGCTGAACAGCCCCGGCCAATCACAGGAGAGCTCACCGACGCTAATGAGGACAGGTGACTTTGCGTTCTGAGGCACGTTGAAGAACATGATGTTGATAGCCATGGTGCAGAGCAGGAGAGACATGCAGCAGGAGATCCTCTGGGCCCTGGTGAAAGGACTGCGGTTGGGTGGGTTCACCACAGACATCCAGATATGTTGATCTCTGAAGCCCGTCGAAGTCCTGTTCTGGAAGATTTTGCTGTGTAGGGACAAAGGCAGGCCTTAATCTCTGAAAGCACCTGTTTTCCACACCCTCGTGCCACTATACACTATAAAAACAACTTTTGACTAAGACTTGTGTGTTCCTTTAGGTCTTTGTTGTTTCTAAGAGCTAGAACTGGGAATGTATGCGCATGTGGAGAGGCTGATCACCCGAAGCTGGTGATCTCACTGTTAGGTGCCACGTGGAAAGTTCTTTTGGTCAGTCCGTCACCCTTCACCGAGCTCAGCCATGAGGAGCACAGGAAATACCAGTATCTACTGGTTTGCAGGTCCTGAACAGCCACTTTACACAGGTACCTGGAGGCAGACACAGCGGCCAGAAATCAACCCTTACGGCAGCCATGTTTGAAAGCAAAAAGCATGTAAACGAACTTTTGAGGTTTGTGCTTGTGGAGGACCTCTACTGCCGGGAGCAACTTACTCAGACTAATTCAGTAAAAGTGCAGCATGAATGCATTCAAATTTTAAGTGATAGTTTCGGATCAAAGCGAAGGTTGAGCCAGCTGTGATCCTGGTGAGCTCACAGCCAGGGTAGCTTTTTTGTTTTGTAGAGCTCTTCATTAAAAAGCTTTGACAGGTTGCTGATTGAATTCATAAGACAAAAAACTCATTCACACCAACTGCACATTTTAAAGATTTAGTTGAGGGCTTCCTACAATCCTATTACAATGTCACGCTGATGTTTTTTTTACATAAAGAATACCTATTATGGTGGAAAAACCATAACAGGCGTGTTTATCACCAAAATGAATCTCTTAGCATTAATCAGCCCTTTTATGTAATATATGCGTGAATGGGGGTGATGCTGGGGTGCCTAAGAGTCTTAAATAACAATAAACCTGCACCTCAGGCAACGTCCTTAGGGAACTACCACTGTAATCACAATTAAATCCTTATAAGAAAACCATTTCTCAAAATAATTGGCTCCACAACTACAAGAACGATCAGAACTGTGTACCACTGGAGCTAGTTTTACCGCAACTTAATTACTCAATTGCCAAGAATTACTAACAAGTCACTGATTAATTGAAATGGCGAATGCATAGACATCGATGATACTAGCTATGGCTCACCAAATTCAGATTGAAGGACAGGATGGAACAATTACAGTGATCCCACAGTAAGTGTGATTGGGTTTACATGATTGCACTGTTCTTCATTGAAATCTCCAGCTCAGGGAAAATTAATTGATTAAAAGCTCAGCATTTACAAAGACTAACACATCCTATTCTTCCTAAGGACTGTGGTCGTTGTCTTCCATAATGAACAGGGAGTTTAGAGAAACCTTTTGGTGATCAGTCCTGGGTTTTGCCAGTTTGGTATGAAACAAGCATTTATATACCTGCCATTCTAAGCATGTTTTTATCTGATCCTTATACTAACCTAGAGCTAGAAGAGAATGATTAAAACTAATGATGTCAGTGAACTGAGCTAATTATCAACACATCACTACTCATTGGCTTTTGCACATCCACAGAAGTTCATTAATAATGCGAAGTTCATGGTGTGAATCACTGAGCAACTTTCTGAGCTGCTCACCAGGAAGGGTGCGCCCCAGAATTGTCCTGTGACACAACGATGGTCTGCAGTTCTCCCAGGGAGAAGGGAGTGCTGAACAGGAAGATGTCCACCCCCCCTCTCTCAAACAGTGGTTTGTTTGAGTCCGTCAGGTGACAGTGCCTGCTCTCACCCTCCGAACCCTGCAGGGTAATCTCCACCTATAAGCCAAGAACATCCATACGTGTTCAGATTGCTTTTTTCAGAGACCTCCTCAAATACCTAAGCTAACATTATTGGTTCCTTAACACTAAATTTAGGGCGGTGGTAGCCCTGTAGGTTAGGCCTGTGATTGGAATGTCGTCTGTTTAAATCCCAGGCTTGACAGCGTGGTTTCACCACTGGGTTCTTAAACAAGACCCTGAACCCACGATTGCTCTATGAACTGTCTGACCCTCCTTTCTCAAAAATGTATGTTGCATTGGATAAAACTGTCTGCTGAATATGTAAACTGTAAAAATACACAGCATAAAACCAGTGTTGGGCATTTCAGGTCCTGAAGCTACAAATCCACACCAAGATTTTGTTTCTACCAACCAGTTGAACATAAACAGTCACAGTCACAGAGTACTCAACTGGTTAGTAGAGACAAGATCTTGGTTTGGATTTGCACTTTCTGGACCTGAAATACCCAACACTGCATAAAGAACAGATATTAAGTGTTCATATTCCAGTGTAGTCTATGACAGAATATATAGAGTGCATTAAATAAAGACATATATACATACAAGATAGCCAAGACCAATGGAAGACAATCTGCCATGGCCAAGCAGTTTTTGGGCCCGGTTCTCACCTGGGCTGATGTGTTGGCTCCTTTGCGGTAACCGGTATATACGGTGAGAAGGTAGCTGTACCGAGCACAGGGGTGGTTGTCCCTCACCAAAGTGATCTTACCCTGAAAGGCAGAGACAAAGGACAGTATACTCAACCTCACTGTGTGTATAGCTAGAGTTACACCTACTTAATCTGCCCCTCTGGTGTATAACTAGCTATGCTCTTTGTTACCGGTCCAGATGATGCTGTTGAATCCAGAAGAAAGACATTTATAGATCTATAAGACAAGATGGAGTCTTGTAACTGAAGCTACTATCATGCTTTAATGCTTTGTCATTCATATTCTGACTGCTTCTCCTGTACAGTGTCTTGGGGGGGGGGGGCACTGGTGGTGATCCCATGTAGCATGGGGAACACCCTGGACAAGATGGCGGTTCATAGCCGGGTATGCACACACACTATGGGTAATCCTGAAATGCCAGTTCAACTGCAGGAGGTAACCAGAGAACCCAATGAAGACCCACAGAACACTCCAAACAAGGGGGGGGGGGCAGAGCCTATACCAGAGACTATGGGCATAACACAAGGAGCCAACCCACCCCCCTGGGGTGCCAACCCATCCCACGGCAGTCACACATCACACCTATGGGCAATTTGGTAGCTCCAACCCACCTAAGCATGTTTTTGGACTGTGGAGGAGGGGGACACCTGGGGGAAGACCTATGATGACGTGGGGAGAATCTGCAAGCTCTGCCACAAGGGGCTGTGGTTCAGACTCGAATGCTGGTCCCACTGGTGGGAGGTAACAGTGCCAGCCACTGCACCACCATGCCATCACGCCGCTGTTACTAACGACGTCACGGGCTGCATGCACAGGATTACAGGCCAGCATCGTTCTCCTTGTGACCTCTCCCCCAGTCACTGACTGAACATGTTCAGCGTAGAATATCTGTCTTGTTTGCATATTGATCTTCAAAAGCAGAATGTGAGTGACACTGAAGATTAAAATGAGAAAGGTGTAGCAAACAGGGTCACAAGGGATTCACTTTTTGTCGACTGATTTCAGCTTTCGGTTACACTTTGTTAGCCTTTGCAGAATTCCTAGAAATGACTTCATTCATGGCTCGAGGTTGATAAAGGAAGGCAAACAAGGCATATTTGATGTGAATAAAAAACGTACTAGAATGTAGCCAGCCTTCTGCTGCATGTTTTTACCTGTACTAGGAAATATGCTTTTTGAACACTATACAGCCCATATAACAATGAACATTAAGTTTAGAATTATGTTCCTCTTCAATTTTCTTTTTCCTTCTATATGAAGAGTATGAAGATGCATTAGTCATCAATATTTGTCTATTGAAGTAAAGCAGAGGTAACAGCGAGGGGCAGACCATGTAAGGTAACAGAATGGGGCAGACCATGTAAGGTAACAGCGCGGGGCAGACCATGTAAGGTAACAGCGCGGGGCAGACCATGTACTGGGAGTTTCATGGAATGGGCTTTCATGGCTGAGCAGCTGCATGCAGGCCTCATCACCAAGTGCGATGCCAAGTATCGGATAGAGTGGTGTAAAGCACGCCGCCACTGGACTCGGGAGCAGTGGAAACATGTTCTGTAGAGTGATGAATCATGCTTCTCCATCTGGCAGTCTGATGGACCAGTCTGAGTTTGGCAGATGCCAGGAGAATATTATCTGCCTGACTGCATTGTGCCAGCTGTATGGTTTGGTGGAGGAGGGATAATGGTATGGGGTTGTTTATCTGGGGTTTGGTTAGCCCCTTAGTTCCAGTGAAGGGAACTCTTAATGCTTCAGCATACCAAGACATTCTGGACAATTCTATGCATTCAACTTTGTGGGAACAGTTTGGGGAAGGCCCTTTTCTGTTCCAGCATGACTGCCCCAGTGCACAGAACAAGGTTCATAAAGACATGGTTGGGTGAGTTTGGTGTGGAAGAACTTGACTGGCCTCCGCTGAGCCCTGACCTCAACCCAAAAGAACACCTTTGGGATGAACTAGAACGGAGATTGTGAGCCAGGCCTTCACGTCCAACATCAGTGTCTGACCTCATAAATGCTCTTCTTGATGGATGGGCAAAAATTCCCACAGACACACTCCAAAATCTTGCAGAAAGCCTTCCCAGAAGAGTAGCAGCTGTTATAGCTGCAAAGGGGGGGGGGGGGGCAACTCCATATTGATGCCTATGGATGTAGTGTGTAATGGCCAGGTGTCCCAATACTTCTGTCCATATACTGTATATTCAGGCATGATTAGTGGCTTCAGTTAACGACCAATGAGTGAGCAGTGCCACTTCCTGTATGGGAGCTCACCTTCCTGGAAGCTCTCTTGTCAGCATGGCAGGCCCAGATGAGAGCCAGCAGATAAGCAGTGAAGAAGGATCCAAGCAATACCGGAACTACGTAGTTCTTCTTCACCGTAGCGAAGTACTCTGCCGTGCGGGACAGGTCCACCTGGTTGGGCATCACGAAGAAGGAGCTCCCGAACGTGGTGAGGTGGCTGCAGAGGCAGTGCGTCATGTTCGGTTCTGTCTGCCCTCCCACCTAGAAGTGGGGGCGATGTGACGATGACCCAGTGCCAATTCGGGAGCCTAGGGGAGGTCAGTAGGGGGGGGACGGTGACTCACCAGGCAGCCAAACGTGCTCCAAGCTTTGAGGTTGCTGTTCCAGAAAAGGCACTTTGTGGGGAAGAGCGAGACCAACACTATGACGCTGTCATTCTTTGTGCAGTTTCCCAAGCCGGCCTGCACGTACCAGGTCCCGTCACCCAACTGCAGCATGTCTGGAGTGATCAGCCAGCGATAACCACCTAAAACAGCAAGATCCTCTAAGATGCCAGGCACATTTCAGTATTTTTAAGTCAATTCTTTTGAAAATGCAGGCTAGAGAGTTGGAATAACTGGGGGGGGGGGGGCCCTTGCTCAAGGCCCCAAAAGGAAATTCACCAATTTGATGCGGGAATTAAAACCCAAAACCTTTGTTACAAAAGT